AAAAATTGCTTACTACTATGTAAAACTTATATTATACTAAAATCGATGTAATTCAATACTTCCTCATATATTTACTACACACTTATCTATTTATAGCATTCACCCTTGATTAATAAATAATTATTTAAAAATTTTAATTTTCGGAGGCAATGTCATGTACAAGTATAACAATAATTATCATTAGAAATTTCTGNTGTACAAGTATAACAATAATTATCATTAGAAATTTCTCCACCCATCTTCTCCTTTGTAGTTAATAAAATTGTTAATACATTTTTGAAGTACTAATGCAAAAGACGTTATTGATCAGTCATTTTCTTATTTGATCATTTTTTTTTCAATAAATTAATTAAATATTTAGTTGTACTTTAAAAAAAAAAATACATAAATTAAGATAAATATGAAACTTAAAAATACTGAAAATAATTTTCTTCACAAAATTTTTCTTTTAGGAGAAATTTAATGACTAGCATTAACAAATTACTCTAATAATATTTTTCATGCATCCATTAAATACTTATTTTTAAGTAGCTTTATCAGTTATTAATAAATTTACTAAACATACCAAACATTTTATAGCTAGAAAGTTTGGAAGGTGAATTTCAACACTTACAAAATGAAATGTATTTAATGCAAAATAAACATTTCCTTGAATGTGTGAAATTAAAAAGTGACATTAAGGATTTTACACTTCCAGAAGAATTAAAACAAAGACAATCTAGTTTAATTGTAATAACAACATTTTACTATAGATTTTCATTTATAGCTTCATTATAATATTTTAAAAAAATTATAGATAAATTTGGAGGTAGAAAATGCAAAATTAACAAGCAAAGTACACGAATACCGTGAAAAATATAACAAACTTAAAGCATATATAGAAGAAGTTAAATCAATGATAACAAGTCAAAATATAAAAAAAGTATTAGAAGATAATATTGATCTTTGTAAAACAAAAGTTAGAAGATTTTTTAAAAGATTAAAAAAAATATAATAATTTTTATTATTATTTTATTTTTAGAAAACATTACAAAAGCAAGTGATAGATTTGCAAAGCTATGCTAAAGAATTAAGTAATAAATTGAGTGAAAAAATAAACAATGAATTTTTGTAAACTTAATTCTTAAATTTCAAAAAAAAAATATCACTTATCTACAGTCTGCTACTACTAGCTCGTGGTAAAGACAAGCTATTAAGACTTATTATCCTTGAGCTTGAAGATGGCCTTCTTAAAAGTACAATGAAAAAACT